ATGTAATGCATGGGAAAAAAGAGTGGCGTTTAAATTCCCATACGGTCTCAAAATAAGTATCATCAAAGATTTTTACCGCTTGCAAATACCAGGCGTTCATAACTCGACCCTTCTAATATGGCTATGCCCAAAATGTCAATGAACTTCTGTTGCCTGCCCGGGTGATGTACACTGGCAGTAGCTCTGTAAATTGATCCCTTTTGTGCAAAAGAAGGAGAGTAATGAAAATGAAATTGTTGTTGTTGTTTTTTTTTTTTAATTTTTGATTATCAAAGCGACGATCACTTTGATATGCCGATCTTGGCACGCAACGAAAAGTTCATTTTGGGCGTTTAAATCTTTTTCTGTTTTCAAGGGTGTCAATTATTTGTTTTTTTTTATTCAATTACCACCAAAGTATAACGGAAATGTGCCGCTTTGGTGCGATTGAGCCGGCCCATCGTGGTGGGAAATGAAATTTGGTCTGGGTGATGAAGTACAAAACGTAGCAATGGCAACAACAAGAAAGGGGCGGCATTTAATAACAGTCAAGCACTTGAATGGTCTTTGGTGTTGATAAAGCATTGCTCGATGGAGGGAATCTTCAAAAAATGTTGCCGCCTTTATGTATTGGGCTAGCAGAAGTTAAGAGTTGGCGGAATTCATTAAGTGCTTCCAATATTCTGTTTGAAAAAAAATAATGTTTGAAGGAAATTGGCAAATCCTTCTAATATTATCCCGACAAAATTGTCGCTCCTTTTGATCTTTGAAAATGCCGTTTAGATAAGCAAATTTTTTCGGCTGATCAATAAACGAAAGCCGCTTCCATTGCCAGGCGTTCAGGAAATGAGACAAAATATTTATTTTCATAATAGAATTTCATTGTGTGTTTCCACTTTGAGCATGTTTTGAAAATAAGCAGCTGTGAGCATAATTGATCTCTTGCTATGGTTGAGTGGAAATGTGGAGTGTTTACTTCCGTTTTGATTCTTCAAAAGACTCCACCTAAGATACACGTTGTTAGTTAGTAATGGACCACATTAAAAATAGACAATTAAAGAATGTTCTTATAATTGAGTACTTAAACGAAGATATGTGCCCTTTTTTTCTATTAAAATTGCATATAAAATCAAATACAAGGTGCTTTCGTGCTCATCTCTTGGTGACCTAATTTTACTCCAACTTTAAATTTCCAATGAAAGTTTCGGTAGCAAAGTTTCATAATTTGGACGTTATATCAAAATTACCAAGATTCGGAAAATTGCACATGCACAACACTGAGCGGCAAAATTCAATTTTTCAATTCAGCAGGTCATGAAAATACCGCTAAAAATTCAAGACATGTGTATTGGCGTTTTGAGAGTTCAAAATCTGTGCAATCTAGGTATAAAGTGTCTTTGTTTAAATGTTTTAACCTTTAATCTAGTCACCAAATTTATGTCCGTCTGTCCATATATTTTTGTAAACAGGTCGCATTTATTGCCCGATCCATATGAAATTTTGCACAAATCATTTGTTAGACCAAAAGAGGAACCCTATTGAAATTGGAGATAATCGGTCAAAATTTAGATATAGCTTCCAAATATATCTTTATCCGATTTGCCTTTTTATGGAATTTTGCACATACGACCAAATTAGGCCTGAAAAATAAATAAGTTTGGCAAATTTGATCGAAATCGGTTCATCCGATTTGTTATTTTTGTCGTCCGCAGCGGTAATATTCACACTGCAACAACGATACTTGGGGAAATATATCAAATACAGCTCAGAAATACCTTTGCTAAATTTTATCGAGATCGGTTTAGATTTGGATATAGCTCCCATATATATCTTTGCCCGATTTGTCTTTTATTGTGTTTCAAGCGTGTAATTTAAGCACAAATAGAATGGAATTTGGCAATTACGATCAAATTGAGTATAGAAAAAAATATGTAAAATTTGGTGTAAATCGGTTCAGATATAGCTATGGGTCCCATAAAATATAAAAGAATATTTTGGATAATCGTGGATTTTTTATTGGATTTTCGGGATCAATATATCGATTTTTTTAAAAAAAGATTTTTAAAAAAAAAAAAAAACAAGATTTTTTCAAATACATTGACCAAATATCTATATTTGAGGGCCTCCGAACCAAAAATGTTTTTTTTTTTTTTCTAGGTCATCCTGACCAAAGTTCGCAAATTATTAAAGAAAACTTTATTCAACGGATTCCTGATCAAACATCGTAAAGTGTTACTTTTTTCTGTTAGCGCTTTGTAATATATTGTTACAATGATCAAAAATACGAAGATTTTCAAGGAAAAACATTCAAATTTTTCACTAATTATTCATGGATTTTTCTAAAAGACATTCGGACCAACAAATTTTTTTTTAGTTCTTCCAGATCAAAATTTTTTTTATTATATATTATATATAAATTACTTTTTTTGAGAATAAATTTTAAGGACAGGAAGAAAATTTCAATTTTTTTTAATATATTTTTTATGGTCCTTCGGTCCAAAAATCAGAAATATTTTTGAAGTTCTTCTTTGGAAAAAAGTGGGTTTTAACGAAAATGTTTAATCGTGGATTTTTTTAATCTGCCAAGTTTTTTTTTAAAAAACTTTTTTTAGTGACTTTCAGCTTTTAAATCATGACATTTGTTACCATTTTTTCAGGACTTACCTGGGATTTCTTTAGAAATATTAATAAAGACTTCTAAAAGAAATTTCGTACATTTTTATGAACATATTTTCAAGGATTTCCTGAAAAAAGATATGTATTTTTGAGAATACTTTTTAAGGACTTCCATACCAATATTTTAACTCTTTATACCCTCAGCCATATGGTTATTTATGCCCTCAGCCATATGGCTAGAGAGGGTATATATAATTTGATAGGTCAAAAAACGGTTTTAGACTCTAGGTCTCTGTGGACCAAATCCGATTCTGGACATTTGGAGTCGGTCTAGCTATGTCCGTCCGTCCGTCTGTCTGTCTGTTTGTCTAGCTGGCTGGTGCGCATGATTTAGTCCAAACTTAGTACATCCAAATATTTTTGCCAAACTTAGGTCGAGTTCCGAGATGCGGAATATCGGTCCACTCCTTCTGGCATCTCCACCACAAAAGATCGAAATTTTCAAAAAAATATATTTTCTACACAGAAAAAGAAACGATAATCCGATTTGCTCCAACTTTGCAAATCCTAATATTTACGTCAGTGCTACGTCAGGTGCGAAAATGGATATTATCGGTCCACTCCAACAAGTACTTCCTCCACAAAGGGTCAAAATTTTGAATAATTACAAATCTTATAAAATGTGGTGTAAGATTCCGATTATCTTCAAATTTCACACATCGCAATATTTTTATAAACCCAAGGTCTGGTGGTAAGAGGGAATATATCGGTTTACTTCTTTGGGTACCTCCCCTACAAAAGGTCGCAATTTTCAAAAAAATATATTTTCTTGCAAATCCTAATATTTGCGTTAGCTCCAGGTTAGGTGCGAAAATGAATATATCGGTCAACCCCCACCCCCCTTAAAGTTGTGGCTATCAAGAATTTTTCTATAAAACTTTTTAACCAAAAATTATTTTTGTTTTACTTGTCGTCCAAGGATTTGCTTTTATGTAAGTGTTCGATATTTCTAAAGTAATATGGAGTTTTAGAAAATGTTAACAAGTACGATTTTCTGACTAAAAATTCTTTATTGTTAAGAACATTTTTTAGGACTTCTTGGCGAAAAAAATATTGTTTTTTTTTTTTAGTTGAATTTCTAGACCTTCCTTCCCAAAATGTGACTTTTTAAGCAATCACAACCAAAACTCGTGGATTTCCTGATAAATTTTTTTTAGTTTTGAATGATTAACGACTTCATATTCCCGAAAGATATTTCTAAAAAAAGTCGTATTTTTTGTTAAATTAAATCTCAAGGACTTTCGGACTAAAGATCTTGGTTTAAAAAAAAAAATATTTTCACTTAAAATCGTACATTTATAGAAAATTTCAACGACTTTCGGACCAAAAATCTTTATTTAAGAAAAACATATTTTCACATAAAATCGTACATTTATAGTAAAACTTTTCCGGTCCTTCTTACATAAAACGGCCGATTTTTAGAGAATGTCTGCTAGGACTTCAGCAACAAAAATCGTGAAATTGTAAGAGTTTTGTTTTCTAAATAACTTGACAAAAATCTCAGTTATTTAATAAAAAACGTCAATTTGCTAAGAATATATTTTCAGGAACACAGTGTATTTTTGAAATAATATGTTTAATGAATTTCTGGATTTTATTTTTCTTAAGAATCTGGTTAAAACATCTTGGTCTCTTTAAGAAAAATCGATCAAGTAATACTAATTAAAAAAAAATCCAATAAATATTGAAAAACTTTTAAGCATCCCTGGACAAAAAATTGTGCATTTTTCAAGGACATTTGACTATATCATTCAAGGAACTCCTGCTAAACAATTCAGGATATTTTAAAAATGTTTCTCGTGTATGTTGATCAAGATTCGTGAAAAATATTAAAAAGGACTTTTTTTCAAATCGGATTTTCTCAAAATTCATTTTTTATCACACGGGTCACTAGCTGTTACACCTCAGTGTTAGTGTCACTAAGCTCTTCTGTACTTAAATATTAAAAAATCTGTTGCTATATTTGTCTCCTCCCCTTGATCGATGTTTTCAATTTTACACCACAATTCATTGTAACACTTTTGCCAAGTCCAGCTACCGAAAAAATGAACATTATTGCCACAACATTTTTTTTCCACAATTGTCCAAGCAAACGAATCAACAAAAAAATTAACATTCCCAAGCGTAAGCGAGCGGCGTTCTGCTTCACTTCAGTTAATGAATAAACCTTTTAATGGCAGTCGGGCAGGTCATTCCGCCGCCGCCGCTGCTGCTCTAATATTAAAGTAATTAAAAAACTAACAGGTGTTAGATTTGTTGCCATGGCATGTTTTTAGTATTTTCAATTTTTTATTATTTATAAAAACATGTTTTTATTCGATTTGGTGTTGTTTGTTTTCTTCTAGATTCTGTTCACCTGGTATGGAGAAGCGGCAGATATTTTTGATGTGTCGTCAATCGGTAAGTGAATAAAAAAATTAAAAGAAAATGATTATCTAATTATTAACGCACTTTGGGTTAGGCAGGAGGATGGAGGTATACTTGAAATTATAAAGTGAACCCATTAACATCTTCACTTAGCGGAACACATTAACATCTGCCCGGGCCATATTGTTGTTGAGAGTGTGAATATTTCGATTAAAACCGAAATTTGACAGGAAATGATGCGGAAATTCAATTTCGAAGCTGAGTTTTGTATTTCTGCTCTCCTGTTACAAGAAGCGGCATTTGTTTTTGATGAATGCCAGGCAATTGGATTTAAAGCATCGTTTAAGGGTGCCATTTGTTTTGTTCATCGCAAAGTAAAATAAATAGGGGGAGCAGGCTATATTCCCACGAGTTTTCCTCTTCCAAAATTTTGGAAATTTTCGGATTAAGATCAGCCAAAATCTCCCTTAGTACTATTTTTTTTTTTTTTTTTTTTTTTTTTTTTTTTTTTTTTTTGAGGAAATTGTCGAAAGAATTATTTTATTTTATTTTTTATTGTATTCCCATAAAAAAGGTAAAGTTTTTCAAAAAGAAATCAACAATTTATTTTTTTGACAAATTTAGAACTTTTTCCGAATTCTGTGCAAATATTCTTATAAATTCCGTGTCCAAAAACCAGTCTGTATTGTGTAAGCCATGGATTTTTCTGAAGGACCATCTGAGGAAAAAAGCGGGTATTTTTAAAAAACTAACATTTTAAGGATCTCCGGCCTAAAATTAAGGAAAAAATCTAAAAACATAAGATAAAATAACATAGATTTAAAATAAAAACCTTCCAAGACCGAAGACAGACCGAAAATTGTGAATTTTTCAAGAAAAATATCTTCAAGGACTTCTAGGAGAGAATCAGAGATGATCAGATGCTAAATCGTGAATTATAAAGGAATTTTAAAAAAGTCGCAAAATTTTCTGAAACTCAAGGGCAAAAAAGCGGGCGTTTTTTAAAAAACTAAAATTTTCAAAGACTCCGGCCTAAAATAAAAATAATATATAAAAAAAAAAAAAAAAACAATTTTCAATGAACTCCAGGAGGAGAATGAAGGATAATTAGAACCAAAATCGTGAACTCCAAAGGAAATAAAAAAACTCGCTAATTTGTTTGAAATTCAAGGACAAAAAAGTGGGTATATTTTAAGAACTAAAATTTTAAGGCCCTCCGGAATAAAATTAAGTAAAAAATATCAGAAACCGTTAGATCCGAAAATTGTGAATTTTTGAAGAAAAAATCTTCAAGGTCCTCCAGGAGAAAAATCAAGGATAATCAAATCCGAAATCGTGGATTCTAAGGGACTTAAAAAATCGCTAATTTTATAAAAATAAAAAATAAAAACTAAAATTTTAAGGACCTTCGTTTAAAAATTAAGAAAAAAATGCCTTTAGATCATACGTTATGGAATCTTCAAGGACATACAGACCGAAAAAAAATCTTCAATGACCTTCAGACCGAAAATTGTGGATTTGTGAAGAAAAGAAAGATTCAAAATCTTGGATTCTAAAGGAATTAAAAAATTTCCTAATTTTTCTGAAATTTAAGGACATCGTGGATATTTTCGGAAACAATCTTAAGGCGTTCCACACCGAAAATCGTGGATTTTTGAAAAAAGAACCTTCGGACCGAAAATCGAAGATTTTTCAGAACCAAACCCGTGATCGATTGGTTAATGTACGTTTTACCAAAACTCGTTTTTTTTTTTTTTTTATTTTATGGAAGTCTGGAAATGGTTATTTAGATCAAAAAATTAGAAAGTTTTTAGGAAAAAACTTGGAGGACCTCCAAACCAAACATGTCGGAAGGAAACATTGTTAGGGATCTTCAGCTCCAAAATCGGGGATCAAACAATAAAAAATTCCTTTTTTTAATTCAAGTGCAATTTTGACCTTGACCAAAATCCTTACGAACTTCTACACCAGAAATCGTGAATTTTTGAAACACAAGGACATTTATGACAAAAATCGTGAACTTTTGAAAGAAAAAACTTTAAGGACTTCTAAACTTTTGAAGAAACTGCCATTTAGACCGAAAGAAAAGAATTTTTTAGACCCACAATCATGATCGGAAAAAATCTCAAGGGCCACACCAAAAATCGAGGATTTTTCAGAACCAAAACCGTGATCGTTTGTTTAAGGATTGTTTTAGTAAAACTCGTTAATTTTTTGCATTTCATGGACTTTCATGGTCTTTTTGATCAAAAGTTAAGGCTTTTTTAAGAAAAAAAAAAAAAAAAAAAAAAAAAAAAACCTTTGAGGACCTCTATGCCAAACATCTTGTATTTCGTAAGAAAAATTTGTTAGGGATTTTCAAATCGAACATCGGAAATCCAAAAATCCCTATTTTTTTATTTATTTATTATTATTGTTTTTTTTTTTTTTTTTTTTTTTTGAAATTTAGAAGCATTTATGACAATAATCGTGAATTTTGAAGGAAACATTTTCTTGGGATCTCAAATCAAAAATCATGGATTTTTCTAAAACAGACGCGTTGTTTTTTTTAAATTATGTTGATTTCAAGGACTTTTAGATCAAAAATTTTTTTTCCAAGGACCTCCACACTACAAATCTTTTTTTTTAGAGGAAATATTTTCTAAAGAAATTTTGGGTGAAATATTGGTTTGATTATTAGATTTCAAGGACTTTTCGACAAAGAATTGTATCGTATGCGACTTCTTCCAAGATCTCCAGACCAAAAATTGTGGATTTTTTAAGAAAACACTTTTAAGGATATACAGACGTAAAATATATATTTTTTGAATTTCAAGGACCTTTGGATGAAACATCATGAATTTTTGGAAATAATCATCAAGGACATCCACACCAAAAATAGTTGATTTGAATCTTTTTTGGTCATTTTTTCAAGGACCTCGAGACTACAAATCTTGTTTTTTCGAGTTTTCAAAAAAATAGTATTAGACCTAGGTGTCTTGGGACATTTGGGGTCAAATGTTTATTCCATTTGTGTCCAAACTTGGTGCTTTGTAATATTTTTACCAAACTTCGATCAAATTCTTTTTGGGGAGGATAAAATCGGTCACCTCACTACCTCTCCCACAAAAAAAAAAAAAAAAAAAAAATCAAAACTTAGGTCAGCTGCGAAAGGGGAAAGTTCGTCTATTTCGGTTGGTACCTCGCCCACAAAGGGTCAACAGTACGAATAATGAAAATTTTCATAATATGTGTCTTAACCATAGCACATCCATAAATTTTAGCCTTTGTTTAGTGTGAAATTAGAAAATTACCAATATACACATTTAAAAACTCGACTGAGGGTTCATTTATTTTGCATGTAAACCCCTAATTAATTGACGTACTTACCAAATAATATCAATATACCAATACTTACCGCACTCTTTCAGATTTATTTCCACAATGCGCATATATGTTACCAAGACCACAGAAAAGGTTTTTCATTCACAATTCCTAATCAAATATCTCCTTAGATTCATATTAGAAACCCCCTTTACATTCAAGATGATAACCCTTTTTGATTTTACATCATGGCTTGTATCTAGCCCACATAAAAAGTATTCCCCTTATTTTGTCCTTTCAACCACATTGCATGGTAACCCAATCATCATCATCACCATCATCATAGATTCACCATTTTCATAGAATTAAGCCAATTTACCCGTCGTACGCCATCACCTCGGAGGAAGTGTGAAAAAGTGCGTTACAAGGGTTCATCACTCTTTCATTTGTTGCAATTATTGCCATTGTTGTTAGACAGTCATTCAACCCCTTGTTTGTTATTTCCTCTATTCCAATGCCGCGCAATTTCAAAGAAATTTACCGCTTTTCTACCAGGACCACAGAACTGCAACAACAGTTCTTTCTCTAGAAGAATTTCTATTCCATATCAAGCAAGTTCCGTTTGCCATTTGACACTGTAAAGAGGGGAGAAATTTATTATTTGTTTCAAATTGTATTAGAAATCATCCAACGGATGGGGTGAATTCACATTTCTTTTGTCTAAAAATTAGGGAAACAAAAGATATGGGCGCTGTGCTGTGTTGTGTGAACAGTGACAGCTGCAAAACATGTTGATGCGATGTTGTGATCTCCGTATTCAGATGCATAGGGGAGTAGCTACATGAATACATATTGACATACATAGTCGTTATGGAAGTATGTAATTTGAAACTGTCATTAGTCAATGCTAAGCGACAAGAGATCGGAAGTGTCGACAAAGGAATGATGTTAGGTTTTTTCTTCTTGCTCAAATATAATGGGTATTGGTGGGGAATACCACTACTAAAACTTATTGACAAATAATTTGATGACCGTTCAGACTATGAATTTAACAATAAATAAATAAAATATATATATATATATATTTTTTTTGAAAACGATACTCACCATTATGTTTGAAATTTCCCGTTAAAAGGATCCTCATCGGCTAAGATAACAGACATTTTGACATTTGGCTGATTTCTTATCCCTTTGATTATCAAAAACTAATTCACATTCGATTATTCCCTATAAATTAGATTAAGATCCGATTTAATCCAAACTTGGTACATCGTAATATTATTGTCAAATTTAGATCGAGCTCGGAGATGGGCAATATCGGCCCATTTTTTTTGGTACCTCCCCCACAAAACGTTAATATTTATTTCCAAAGAAAATAATTTACTGCACAGAAAAAGAAAGGATAATCCGATTTTGCTCCAACTTTGCATATCCAATATTTGCATCAATGTTAGGCCAGGTGCGAAAATAGACAATATCGGTCCACTCCATCAAGTACATCCCCCACAAACCGTCAGTATTTTGAATAATTACAACTCTTAAAAAATGTGAGGTAAGAGTCCGATTGTCTTCAAATTTCACACATCCCAATATTGTTATCCACCCAATGTCTGGTGTTAAGATGGAATATATCGCGCCACTCCTTCTTGTACCTCCCCCACAAAAGGTCGAAATTTAAAAAAAAATATTTTTTACACAGAGACTGAAAGGATAATCCGATTTTGCTTCAACTTTGCAAATGCTAATATTCGCGTCAGTGCTACGTCACATTCGAAAATGTGTAATATCGGTCAACTCCATTAAGTACCTCCACCACAAAGGATCAACATTTTCGAATAATTATAACTCTTATAAAATGTGATATAAGTGTCCGATTGTCTTCAAATCACCACACATCACAATACTATTATTAGCCCAAGGTCTGGTATAAAGATGGAATATATCAGTTCACTTCTTTTGGTACCTTCTCCACAAAGGGTCAAAATTTTGAAAATACATTAAGCATTTAAATCGCAAAATTAACATTCGATTCCATTCAGACTTGGCACATCTCATTATTTCTATCAACACAAGGTATAATGATGGTAGGGATCGCACCATTTCTTCTGATACCTACTCCACAAAGGATCAAAGTTTTAAGTGCCCGAAACGATTATCAAATCTGAAATAAGCATCCGGGTCTCTTCAAAATACACACATCGTAATATTTTTTATTAAACCAAGGTCTGGTGTAAAAATGGTATATATGGGTCCACTTCTTCTGGTATCTCCCCCACAAAGGGTTAACATTTTGCAAATCCATGAAGCTTCTAAAACGCGGAATTAATATCCGATTCCATCCAGACTTGGCTCATCTCAATATTTCTATCAACACAAGATCTGTTATAACGATGGTCGAGATCGCACAATTTCTTCTGGTACCTCCCCCACAAAGGGCCAAAGTTCCAAATACCCGAAACGATTTTTAAATCTGAAATAAGCATCCGGTTCTCTTCATATGTTACAAATCCCATTATGTCTACTAACACAAGATGGGATATTTCGGTCTACTCCTTCTGGTGCCTTTCCCACAAAGTGTCAAAATTTTTAAAAACTCATAAAACGCGAAATTAAGATCCGGTCCGTTCATTACCTCCTCATAGCGCTAATATCCTCATAGACCCCTCAGAAAAAAGGCTCTGAAAATATCTTCTAAGAGATAAAACATACAAAGGCGCCGACGCGATCTTATCACATATATTAAGGATTCTATATATCATATATTTTAAATAACCTAAATATACTGTCATATTCATTTTTTCAGAGAAACAGAAGAAAAAATTAAGTCCACTGGATCTGATCTCGGTAATAAGAGTCCGAAAGGACTTATTAAAAAAATTAAATCTCATTCGGCCTCTATAACGGAGATATGGATCTCAACATATATTTCTCCACTTTATTGTTATTTTTTTTAATTCAACTTAATTTTTTATCCGATTGATTAGAGTATATTCTTTACCTTGAGTGGAGGGTATTAAATGCTCGTGTCGGCCGAACTTAATATTTTTTCTTATTATTTGCTAATAACATTGTTAGTAAAAATGCTGCATGTTCGGCCGGGCCGAACTTTGAATACCCCCACCATTTGGAACGAATTAGACAATTCTCAAAAACAATTAAATTCTGTTAAAATCCTAAAAATACAAAATGTAGCTATTATATTAGGGTCTATACGACGACATGAACCTGCGTGGATAATATTTTTCATATGCCATTACAATATTCAAATGCGAAAATTAAAAAAAAATCGGTTATAATGTCGATAAAATCAAAATACAGAATATCGGAAGGTACCGTTATATGAGGGGCTTTATGAAGAGGTGGACATGCACAGACAATTTTCTGTCTTGGGCTGTAGTATCCATTAGGAATCTCAAGATATTTTTGAAAATATTATTAAAAAGTCCACTACAAAATACAGTTCAAATCCACAGAAGTCAGAAGGTTTATGAGGGTCCTTATTTCATTAACATGGTCCCAGTGGGTCGTTGACAGAATCTTTTACCAGTTATAATGCATCATTGAAAGAAACTTCTCTCAGAGATAAAGTTTTAAAGATCTGCCGGCCGATAATAGTTTCTGAAGAGTCGTCTCCCGGAGTTAAGATTTCGACAAACGTTTAACTAATGGAAAGCATTTTAAAGGATATAAGAACGTATTTTTCCGAGACAAGATGGTTTTTTATCTCAGAGAAAAATAAACATATGACACCTTATCTCAAGGCTAGAGAGATCAAGGGCCTTAGCCAAGAAAGGGTCATATCTTAAAGAAAGGAACCTTATTTTAATCTCCTTCCGGAAAATTCTCTCTGAAGTCGTGGTATCTCCTTAAATTTTGCATGTTTTGTGATGGGGCTCAAGAGAATCTGTAAAATATAGATTTTTTGATGACCGTTTCTTGAAAATAAATAAATTCCATTTTTATTTTCTATTGTTGTAGTCTTCCTTCATTTTGTTCTTGTTGTTGTTATTGTTTTTCTTGAGATCTTTATTTTCAAATCAAAAATTTAGTTGTTTTTTTTTTTCGTTTGTTTCACAGAGGAATAGCGAATATCTGATAGTCGTTCGCTGTGATTTATTTCAAATAGGCTTCAACGTTTTCTCTCGATATCATGCTGTTGTTGTTGTAGTTTTTGTGATTTTTTTTTTGCTTACACTTGTGATAATTACTTAACAATACTGACTGCCTTCTTCTCTTTTTTGTTTGTCTGTCTGTTTGTGTGATTCTCTTATGAATCTGTGCTTGGAATGAATTGCAAATGTGTGTTTTTTTTTTCATTTTTTTATATAGTGATTTTTTATTTTGTATATATATATATAGAGATGTATATAATATGTATATATATCTTTGATTTTTTTGGAGGAGGGGGGTATATGAATAATTGTTTATTTTGTTTTTTTTTTTTTTAGGGGGGTTGTCTTTAATTGTGGGGTTTTTCGATGATCCCCCGCCAGGTGGGGGGTAGATCATCGTTCCGTCATTCATTTTTGCATTTTTTGTGTGAATTACAAGACATGTATGTAAATAATAATATGCATGTATATCTTTAGTATATATATATTTTTTTTTTTTGTTATGTATAATAATTGATAATATTTTGTTAATGGTTTTCCGTTGGTTTTCTTTCTTGGGTTTTTGTTTTTTTCTGCTGAATAATAATAATGTATTCGGGTTTGTTTTTTCTTGGTTTTGCTCAAAATACATTCATAAAACATTGAGAATAATACATTTATAGTTTATAAGAATTGTTGGTTGTTGTTTTTGTTCTTGTATTCCATTTTTGTTCAATTTTTTATTTAAGTATAAAGTGTGCTGTTTTATATGATCATTTTCAAAAGGGATGTTCTTGCTTTAAATGCATATCGTATCGAATCGTTTTATGTTTCTTTTTTTATTTATTCATATTTTTTTATATATCATATAGAATTACAATTTAAGAGAAATTCACTAATAATTGTTTTATGGTTGCATGTATTTGTATTTAATTCAATTTTAATTTTTGGGATTTTTATATTTATTTTTTTTAATAATGTCTTCAACGATTTTAAACGTTTTCCTTTGAAAATCAAATTCTTTTTCCTTCTTCCAACACATTGAGATTTATATAGATGTGTATAATATATATTTTTTATTTTTTTTTTGTTTTTGCATTATTTAATAATTATTTTTTAATCTTTGGTTAATTTAATTGTTCGCTTGTTTTTGTTTTGTTTTTAATTCAGAAAAAAAATATTTTATTTTTATTTTTAATTGTCATGTACTATTTTTTAGTATTTTGTTTTTAGTTACTTTGCAATCTTCCATTTTTAAAACGCCATTTTCTATTTGTATTTTTTTTTAACATTAATTTGCATAAAATACCTCTACTCAGTATAATTTTTTTTCAAATAACACATATTTCATATTTTGATTAACAAAAAACTAAAAAAAACTGCATGAAAGCCTATCATCAAAAATTTGAATTTTTATGATAATTTTTTTAAATACATAAATATTTTTATTTTTTTTTATTTTGTTTTATAAAACACATAATATAATGCTGAATGTCATTATTAACATGTTATGCAAAAATTTCTCTCTATTTTTATTTTTCCTGAAACGGCCAGTTTTTTATTTTTCATATTCAATATTGTTTTCCTCATCGTCGTTCTTCTTCATTTTTTGTTTTTTTTTTTAGGAAATATTTTCTTACAACTAAAAACGAAAAGAAAATAAAAAATTAAAAAATTGTTTTTATTTTCTGTTTTCGTATGTCATGTTGTTTATTATATTTAAAGCCTTGTTAGTTTTTTTTATTATTTATTTATTTGGAAATGTCTAATGTTTTGAAAGCCTTTTACATATATGTTTTGGTTTTTTCAATATGTTATGGATTGTTGAGATTGATTGGTTTTTGGGTATAAATTTTCGTTTTTTTTTTTTTTTGTAAATTTTTATTTAAAATACCTTTTTGTTTTGAAAAAAATGAAAATATTTTTTATTAATAAATATTTGCTTATTTTTAAGTTATAACTTATAAAATTAAATTAATCTGACTTAACTTCAGAAAAATTTATATGAATATTTATTGGTTTGCATTTTCATAACCTTAAATTTTTCCGACTTTCCTAAAACAATGTGGGATAATTCAAGAGATATTTGAGATTGCTGCAGCGTATTTTTTACTTTTTCATTTCGAAATTAATTTCGAAAATAGCTTCGATTTCTCTTTTCTGATATAAGTTCTCAAAAAATAAATTCGGTTTTGCAAACGGAGCACAAAGTTATCTAGAAGTCAGGGAAGGCAGCTGCAAACTGATTAGCCTTAATTTAGTTCTGCCCAATTGGGCGCCAATCTCAAACGTAAAGGTCAAATACCATTTTTTTTAAACATTTTCGGACATAACACTTGTGGGTATGTTTGAATTCAATTTCTATTCAAGAATCGATTCTGAAAATTCAAGAAGTCAACTAGTCCTGGCCAATTGGGCGCCAATCTCAAAAGTGTAGATCAAATATTTGTAAACATTTTCGGCCATAATGCAATTTCTTGTGCGTTTCTGAATTCTATTCCTACTCCGGAATCGATTCTACAAATTCAAGGAGTCAATTATTAAGAAATTACCCACACTTGGGCGCCAATTTCAAATCTAGTAGGAAATATATTTTTCCGATTCATGGGTTTTATAAATTGGTATATTCTGAAATATTTGGAATTAAGACTTGTAATAACTTCACTTACTCTCAAAACACTGACAAACCACATTGGGCGCCAACTTAGTTTCTAAGAGAAAACATACAATCTCCAATTCTTTTAACTTTCTTAAAACAATGTGAGATAATTCTAGAGAAATTTGATTTTGCTGCAGCCAAATCATTGCTTTATCATTTCGAAAACAGCGTCGATTTCTACTTTCTGATATAAGTTCTCAAAAAATAAATTCGGTTTTGCAATCGGAGCACAAAATTATTGGTCTTAAGTTAGTCCTGGTCATTTGGGCGCCATTCTCGAAACTGAAGGTCAAATATCATTTTTGTAAACATTTTCGACCAAAAACCAATTTCTTGTGTGTTGCTGAATTTTATACCTACTCCGGAATCGATTCTACAAATTCAAGAAGTCAACTATTACATAAACTTCACAAAATACCAATTCTGCCATTCAGCCATTTTTAAATTTGGAATGGTTTCGTAAGAAATTACTTGGGCGCCAATTTCAACTGTAGTAGGAAATATATTTTTTCCGATATCATGGGCCTTATAAATTGGTATTTTGGTATATTTGAGACAAAGTCTAGTGGTAACTTTACTTAATTCCAAAAAAATGACATTTTAAACATTTAACACCATTTTTTTGAGTCGTTTTGAATTCTATTTCTGCCCCGAAGGCATATACAAATGTGTGAAGTTAACATTTGTCCAAACTTCACTCAATCCCATTGGGCGCCATTTTTAAATCTTCAAATATTTTTTTTTTTAGATCGAATTCTCAAATAGTTGGTGATAAACATGAAAACCAAAGCCGTTTTGAGCTGAATAGGATATACTTCTTATTCAGAGTCGATTTCAATTACCTTATTTCTTATTTTGGGAGCCACGCGGAATATAATGGTTACAAGCAAACTTTATCATTTTTGAAGTTGAGTTTGGTGTCAATTTCTGATATTGACGGAAAATATGGCCAACTTCACATTGGGCGCCAGTTTCATTCATGAGGATAATTTTTGTCTCAATATGTTAGTTGTATTAATTTAACTTTACCAATTTGGGAACCAACTTAGGTGTTAATTTCACATAGAAATGTTAGAAAATTGGTAGGTTTAAAACTCATCAAGACAATTCTTCCCATATTTCGACTAAATTTCAAATATGTAAATCTATAGTCCTTTATGTTTTCGTGATTTATTTATTGTTTCGAACTTCTTCTCTATACCCAATTTTCAAAATAATTGTACTAATTAAAATAAAGAAAAATATTTTTTATTTATATTTAAATCTACTGTCCTCAGTCCAAATTTTATTACATGTTTTTAATGGTCCAATATTAAGTCGGTCGCCGTTAGTCTTTCTGTCTTCCTGTCCGAATAGGAACTTAAACCATTTATTAGTTGTTATTGGAAGCATTGTAAAGAAAACTCGATAACGTGTTTTAAGTTACTTACTCAATTTGTTAACCATAAACATTTAAAAATTGACTTTAAGGAAGGTCGATTCAGTAACTTTTTTAAGAAATTCAGAGACTTAAACAACTTTCCAAATCGATAAAAGTTACTGAATCGACCATACAGCAGATTTCTTTACAATGTTTCCAATAGTTTTAATAATAATCAATATATGTATATATAAAGATTATTATAATGTTTTTAGCAATGTCGTCATTATTGTCGTTGTTCTAAAGTAGTCCAACCATAAAAAAGGTTTAAAAATAAGAAAAATAATTTAAAATTATAAATTTGTAATTGAATAATTATGATCAATTATTTTTGAAATTGCCACATTAAGTGAAAGTAATTAACAAAACCAAAAAAAAAAAAAAAAAAAAAAAATACTTCCACCCAATTCAGTTTTATTGGGTGTCCAAGAATTATATTGTTGTTTATTGGCAAAGTAAGTGGATTCGGTTGAATTGGGCGCCATTTTACATTTATGTGACTAGCAAACCGGAAAAATGTAGAATATTGAATCATCATTTGCTACTTTTTATATGCCCAATGTTAATATTTACAATGAGTTATTTAATGAATGATGGTGTCACGCGATAATGGGTACATGTAAAAGTTTTGAAAGGAAGGATATTTTATGTTATAAATATTAAATATTGAACTCAACTGAAATTTGAAGGTGCAAGCCAACAGTTATGGACCCAGACCATAATGGAACACACGTTTTTTTTTTATTTGTTGCTCTCTGGAGTCAACCTAAAATGACGTTATTATCCATTTATTGGCATGGATCTGGGATATACGTGGATGATGGATCTGGGATATACCGTCCAAATGGCTACTTTTCTGCAATTCTTTGTATATTTTATTTTGAAAAGTAATTTTTTTATGTTTCGTCAAAAATGGTTTCGGAATATGGATTCTGAGAAAAAATCTTTGAAGTCAGATTTTAAGGTGCAATGTTAAGGTGATCTCTACTCTATAAATTACGGGTTAACCGGGGTCACAAATGTTTAGATTTGGAAATTTTATCTGAGGCTTTCGAGTGAAATATCAGTCGATTTTTTTTTTGTGGTATTGTTAAATTTTGTCCTATCATAAAACATTCCTTCCAATATTTGTGGCACCCAACGAGAGTTAATCGTAAAATAAATTTACTATCCCAAAAATTGTTATGAATGCTCAGAAATACCAGATTTTAATAGGCCCATGGCATTCGTTCGAAATTTTTATTTATTTAAAAGTACGGATTATCAGGGAATTACAACGCTTTAACATCTGGTAGTTTTAGAAATTTAAATTCAAAACTTCCAAGTGAAAGAGCTTTTTCAATGAGAATCATACGAAATATCTCAAATTGGACTAATAGTTCTAACATTACTTCTAATAGTTGTGTCGCCCAACGAGAGTCAATCGCAAAATGATGTTACTTGCCAATGAGGCATATTGAATACTATTGGAAAAAATTATGGAAAATGTCAAATTTTAATGGAGGCCATCCCAGGTGTCGATTAACGAGGCTTACAAAGCAAAAACTTCTTGGTTTAATCTTTCAGACTTTCAAGTGGAGTCAGAGAGCAGTCGAATTTTTAATTATTTTCTTGAGGATCATAAAAAATTTCTCAAATAGTATTTGTGGCGCCCAATTGGATTCTCAGAAAAAAGGTTATCAGTGTTATATACCCCAAAAGGTACCTATAAACGAGGCTTACAAAGGTATAACATCTTGGTTTAATCTTTCAGACTTTCAAGTGGAGTCTGAGAGCAATCGAATTTTTTATATATTTTCTAGAGGATCATAAAAAAATTCTGAAATGGTGTTTGTGGCGCCCAATTTGATTCTCAGAAATCAAACTATGGAAAATTTTAGATTTTAATGGGGGCCATATCAGGTCTATGTACCCCATAAGGTGCCGATTAACGAGGCTTACAAAGGTATAACTTCTTGGTTTAATCTTTCAGACTTTACTTGGAAATTGTTGAAATTTTTTGAGGATCATAAGAAATCTTTCAAAAGGTATCTGTGGCGCCCAATTGGATACTCAGAAAAAAAAAAATAAAAGAAAATGTTAGATTTGTATTGGGACCATTCCAGATGAATGTACCCCATAACTTCTTGGTTTAATCTTTTAGACTTTCAAGTGGAGTCTGAGAGCAATCGATTTTTTTTTATTTATTTTCTTGAGGATCTTAAACAAATCTCTCAAATGGTATTTGTGGCGCCCAACGAGGGGTCAACCGATTTTTTTAATAATAACGTTTCAGGACGATCTGTCCCCCCACAAGGAACGAGTTAACAAGGCTTCCAACGGTTTGACTTCTTGGTAGTTTTTGATAGTTTCCTGTAGGACAGTCATGTGAAATATTTTTCATTTTCACGTTTTTTGGATAAATCCTTAAATGTATTATCCATTTTGGTGGAAAAATTATCGCAAGACGATTTAAAATTTATATCTGTATTGGTGGTTATATTATCTAAATATGAATTATTCACGTTGGCGGATAATTTATTCAAAGATTGGTTATCCAGATTGGTGGACTAATTATCGAATGGTAATTTATGCAGATTACTTTATAATTTTTCGAAAAATATAATTTTTCTGAAAAAAATTCCAATAACTTCTTGGTTTAATCTTTCGGACTTTCAAGTGGAGCCTGAGAGAAATCGAATTTTTTATTTATTTTCTTGAGGATCATAAACAAATCTCGCAAATGGTACTTGTGGCGCCCAATGAGGGGTCAACCACAAGAAACGAGTTAACAAGGCTTCCAACGGTTTAACTTCTTTTTAGTTTTTGATAGTTTATGTGAAATACTTCCTATTTTCCCAAATGGATCAATTTTCAAAAGATTATTTATTCACGTTTTTTGGATAAATAATCCAAAAATGAACTATCCATGTTGGTTGACAAATTATCGAAAGACGAATTATTCACCTTGGCTGGATAAATTATCCACAGATTAGTTATCCGCGTTGCCGTTGAATGGTAATTTTTGCACGCTGCTTATAATTTTTCGATAATTATAAAAGTTGCCGAAATCGTTTGTAAAAATTTCCCATATTTGAGGAGATTTTATCGAAAGGTTAAAAATAATTTATCGACGTTGCTTTATAATTATAAATATAAAAAAATTCCCATATTTAAGGAGAATTTATCTAAAGGTCAAAAATCCACATTTTTGGATAATTTATTAGCTTTGGTATATCATTATCCAAAAGTGAATTATATAACATGAATTACCCAGAGATAAATTAATTAAAGACATACTATGTTAAATTATCCCCACTGGTAGGCTGGTGGATATATTATATAACCTCTTCTTTAAATTTAAGTCAGATTTAATTTAATTTTTTTTTGTCTAAATAAACCAAAAGAAAAAAATACAAAAAATAAATACAACAAAAGGCTTTCGAAATTATTATAAAATAATTAAAAAAAATATAGTAAATATTATATAAAATATAAAAAATAACATTTTTTTATATCAAAGCTGAATTTTCAATATTGTGCGTTTAAATACATTTTTTGTGAGTTCTTGATTTTTATTTATTTTTTTTTGTTAGGGAATTCTTTGTGAAATGGCATTTCAAATAAAAATTTACAAAAAAAATTGTCGATTTTTATCTCTCTTGGTTTATTTGCATTTGAGGTTAAACATTGATAGTATTTCGATTTTTTTTTATTTCCTTTTGATTGATTTCGGATGTGTGTTTTTGTGTTGATGTACAGTTACATTGCATTTGGGTTTTGGTTGTATTAGTATTTTCTTTCATTTTTTGGATTTTTTTACATTCATTACGGATTTATATATATATTTTTTTTTTTAATTTACACCATCATTTAAAATTTGTATTATTTTATTATTATTATTTTTTTGTTTATATTCTCTTTTGTTTTAAATTTGAATTGAATTGTGTTTGTTTGTTTTGCTAATGTTAATTCATATATTTATATATCTTTCATTTATTTAAATTGAATAACGCTTTGTTTTGCTACAATAACACTACTGTTGTTTTTAATGGTTTAATAATTGTTTTTATTTTTTTTATTAAATTCTAAATCAAAATTGTTGGTTTTTTTCGACCAATATTCAAAGTGTCGTTTTTGTTTTGTTTTTTTGTTTTTCAAGTTGTTATTTACACTTTCTTCTTGTTGTTTTTGTGTGATCTTATTGTTGGTATAATGTTGTTGTTGTTATTGTTGCTTTTTTTAAATAGTCATTATTTTTTAAACTCCACAGTTATTGTAATATTTTATTTAAGTTTTCTTTGTTGCTTGTTGTAATATTTAATGTGTTTTGTTTTTGTTTTATGCCAAAATGAAATGTTTTTGTTTGTTGTTGTTGTTAATCTAAAAGAACAAAATATTGAATGAAAGCTACTTGTTTTTTTTTTCTTCGTTTACATAGTTTTAATTTGTTGTTTGTTGTTGTTTTTATTTATTAACTTTTCTTACTATATATAAATTGTGTGTGTGGATTTTTATTTTATTTTTTTGTATTATTTATTTTAATTTTTAAATCCTTTACTGATATCCCATCATTGTTTTGGTATCTGTGTTTTGTAGTTGTTGTTGTTTTCAATTTTTTTTGTACTTTAAAGAAGCATTTTCAAACAAAAAAGTTTTAAATAATTTTTTGTTGGATAACTGCCTTTGTTGTTATATATATTTGAGCTTCCTTATATAGACAAATTAGCAGTTAATAGTTTAGCAGGTCCCAGTTTGGGGGGCCAAATTTAAAATTTATTAAAAAATATACAATTCATAGAAAATAGAAATAAATGAAAAGTAAAAAATTAAATTATAATAATTTTGCTATTGCACGGTGCTTCTATAGTGCCAGAGGCCAACATTTTTCAATTTTAATAATCACTGCTTACTTTCAATTCCCTATCCCTATGACAAGTAGGGTTGCTCAAATTTTTTTTTTTTCCTTTGGGAGGTCGTCTAAGACCATGACTTTTTAGAAAATCACATTTAGATTATTGAATAAAATATAAAAAAAAAAAAAAAAAAAAAACAAAAAAAAAAATAAAAAATGTAAAAAAATATATAGTAATATAAAATCAATGAACTTATATCAAATTTCGTTTGGAATTTTCTGAAAATTTCAAACCAATAGATTTTAAAAAGGGTCATAAACTATTTAAACATTGGACCGTGGAATTATGTAATTAGGAACTGAAAAGGAGAGGAAGTGTTTAAAATTGTTCCAGAAAGTCTATAATCAATTAAAAGTAGCTTTTCGATTGGTTTGAATTCCCACACGGATTTACCAGGTCCCAATGATCCTTGTATTACTTACAATACGTATATTTTCTTAAAGAATACTGTAGTCATTATATTTAGAAGGTTATTTTTTCTTTTGCAAAAATCAGGCTCCAAGTTGAGATTTTGACATTTTCAAGAGACGTTTGTACATGTTCCATCCTGAAATTATGTCTATTTGGATCATTTAAAGGAAAATTTTAGGAAAATGATCAGAGATTTTCTGATGATGATATTCAATTCCAATCTTAATAATTAGCGTTCTAATTTCAACCCGTATTTTCAGATACGTAGTATAAATGATACTCCGGGTGTTCGAAATTGAGGTACGATTTGAGATTTTGCAAAAAACAAAATGTTTGGAATATTACCGAATATCACGATTCTCTCAATATCACCCGTCGAGCTTGAGTTAACCTTTGTATAAGGGACTTTGTTGCATTAAGTTCCTTATTTAATTTTTTATTTTTATTTTTTTTTTTTTTTGGTTAAGTTATCATGGATTTTAAGTACTGCCCTTAGTGGCAGGGTTTGTCGATTTTATGTTCCTCATAGATCAAAAAAAAAAAAAAATAAAAAAAAATATATATATATATTGTTCTCAGATACTTTGTGAAACAAAGAACCCAAGATGTGTGGCATCAGATGACCAGATAATTCAAATTATCCTGTCATGTATTTTTTAACCACAATCTGAAGTTTCGAACCCATATATCTAAAATATGACTGGAGAGATTTTCTTGTTTGTAATATACAAATATTGTCCTCAGACACTGTGTTTGTTTTTGGAAGATCCATCGGTCTCTGTAGCCAAGAGATTGAACCTATGAAATAAGGACATGGACATGTTCTCTTGGTTCACTCAGAGAGTTTTGACTACAATACGAAAAGTTGCCCTCCTGCCACGAAATTCTCGGATATTTTCTGTATAAATTTTTCCCGGTTTATGGTAATACTCCGGGTCCGAGATGTAAATTATAGACCTTTGGTCTGAGGTGTTGCCATTTTTCAAAAAAAAGTCCAAAACTCCGACAAAGGATTCTTTGCATTCAAAAAGCCCCTCCGCTAATTAATTTTTTTTTTTTTTTGATTTGGATTTTTAAAATTCGATTTTATTTCTAATATGGAAACATGTCCGAGACTATATTAAGCGAAAAAATTGGGGATTTAAGTGCTGGAAGTGTTACTATATACGAAAATAGCCTTGAATATATTAGTCTTCAATGGGGGCTACACGAATGTACAATACTCATCACACCCCATTTCGGCCGAAGTTGACTAAAGACAATATTAACCTTTTTCCAGTCGGAACAATCTTGCTCAATGATAGAGTTCTATCTCAACCTATTTTTTATAAAAATATATTCTTCAGATTTAATTTCGACATTCCTTTTCTTCCGGTTTTTTGTTTAAAAAACAAAATACTGCGACATTCGAAATAATTTTTTTATGGGAGTATAAATTTTCATATTTTCACATCAGATTATGGGCAAGTTTTTCAAATGTTCATTGCTATTAAATCCCCTGGAAGTTGCCTAAAATCATGTCATTGGGCCAAATTGTCTGATTTTTTACATGTTTGACCCCTGAAGCATAATTTGTTCCACAGAAAAATAGGTATCTAATAATTTTGGATAATTTTTTCTATCCTCGGATTATTTCTATTGTTATTTTCTCCAGTTTATGGTCAGGGAATTTCTTTGCAAAAAACTCGAAGACATAAGAAAAATTGTTTTCTTTAAATACAGCTTTTCAAATTTTCCTTGAAGCCACATCGCCTTAAATTTGTCTCAAATTAAAATTTTTTTTAGAATATCTTCTCAGGCCAATTATATTGAATTTTTAGTTTTTTAGCGTAAAATTATTTATTTTTTTTTTTGTATTTTTGATGTATTATCTGATCCATACAAAATTTTTCTAAGACCCCGTTATGTAAGAATTTTGTCAGACCCTGAAGTTGAAGCCTATAATATCACTATTTTTCTTTATAAAAAATCCTTAAATCCCTCAACTCGCCTTGAAATTATTTTAAATTGCGAAATCATGGCAAGAATATCCTTAAAATACAAAAATTGTTCCAAGAAACTTCGAATTAACCAGGAAAATATATTGAAATATTTTCATCGTTATAACGGGATTTTAAGGAGCAATTTTCTGATTTTGATGTCCGATCTGCCAAATCCAACATTTCTACGGGTTTTTTATACAAAAATCTTGTATCAGAGAATTAATGTCCTTAAATCCTTATATTCCTTTGGTCAATATATTTGATATGGTCAATAAAAAGTTACTCCTCGGAAACTGAGTTTTAATTAAAATTTCTTTGAAATTACTATTTATTGTTTTTATCTGATATTTTTTTTAATATTTTCAGTGAGGTCTCATATATTTCTGTGATATAAATTTATCAGATTTAAAGGTACATTGAAAAATATCATTTAATGTAATGTCACCCCAAATCGCCTTGGAATTATCATTTTGTGTTAGAAGAATTGTAATGTTTTCTTTGAAACACCCAAATTTCTCTAACATAACCTCACTTTTTTACTTGTAGCTCCAGCTTTGATTGGAATATTAAAAGGAAATTCTAAAAAAAAATATTTTTAAAAATATTGACTTTCGTCTATCCGCAAATACCTTCATTGAAGTTGATTTTATTCCTTGATTCTGAGACCTAAACTTTTTTGTAAACAAAATACTTTTTTTGGAACTGAATTTTTTCTTTGAAAATAATTTGAGATTCGTTTTGCTCTTAAAAAAGTGCCAAAGCTTCTTATTTAAGAAGGCAATTTTTTTTCTTAGATCTTGAGACCTAAGCCCCATTTCTTTCAATATTAGGACTGAATTCTGTCACTAAATCCCGAAATCTAATTTTTTTTCTAAAAAATCCCCAAAGGTCTTACTCAAATCGATAACTTTTCCTTAGACCCCGAGGCCTAATTTTATTTTTGTATGGAATAAATTCTAACGACTGTGGAGTCTCTTTTTTCTGTATGTCTCCATATCTTAAATCACCCTAAAACTAGGGCATATTCGCACTGGTTAGAACATAACCTCACTTTTGTTTCCTTTTCTTCTAATGAACTTCTACTTTATGGAGTAACTCCACTAAAATTTAAATCAAGATCATTTTTTATACATTTCGTGTTTCAAATTCGGTTTTTTGAATATCATTGTCAGACCCTGGTGGAATTTCTATAGAGAGATTCTAAAATTTCATTTTTTCTGAAATCTCCAAAAATTGGGTCATATTTTTATAAGCACATAACCTCACTTCTGTTTTCTTCGCTTGAAAAGGAACTTCAGTAACCACACGAATCTTAGATTTTTATACTTCATTAAGATCTCCTTCAATTTTTTCCTTTACCTGCAAGGAACTGTAATTTTCACATGAAACTTGGATTTTTATATATTTCATAGATCCCATTTTAATTTTTTTTTATTTTTTGTTTTAGCAGCACCGTGTTTTAAATTAAAAAAATACCAAAAAATTTAAATAATAAAAAATTACATATTTGTGCTAATGAAAAAAAATGCCTTTATATATTCAAAACTTTCCAAAACTCCATTGCCAAATTTACAATTTTTTAGCTGCCCATAGTTGAGTGTTGATAAAAATTGTTTAAATTTTTCTAAAATTTGGCAATAACGATTTGGAATAAAATAGAATAATTTTAATTAGATTTTTTTTATAGGTCAATCCTTTTTTTTCTTTTAGGTATGTCATACATTTAATTGATATAGTATGTTATTTTTATAATAATATTTTTATTTTTATTTTATTATGTTTTCATAATAATAATAATAATTTATTTATGGTTTGGTTTGCATATAAATGTTCATAATTTGTATATATATGTGTGTGTGATACACCCTTTGTTTTTTTTTAATTTATATATGATTTCTTTAAGGTACACATATTAGTTAATGATATATATATTTGTTGTCTTTGTTTTTTCTTTAATATTTTTAACAAACACATCGATAATAATAGTAATAATAATCGTTACAGTAATAATAATTATGATAGGAAAATAGCAATTTTTGTCGTTTTTTTTTTTGTTGTTTGATGTTGTTCTTGTTTTCATCTGCAATCTCTGTGAATCGTTTTTGCCAATCATGTATTTTTTGTTTGTTTTGCCCGCCGAGCAGAGCGGGCCACAAATAAAAATTAAACACCTTCTTGTTAATTTTTTTACGCTTTTGTTGTTGTTATTTGGTATTGTAATGTTGTTGTAGACATCTATACATTTTTAGTACACTTATTTATTTGTATAATGGAATAAAAGTAAGAATAATGATAATAATTAATGATTTTATTATTTGTGTTTTTTTTCTTCTTCATCTTTCATACTTTAACGTGTTCTCCATTTTCTGTTTTTTTTTTTTTTTAATTTGGGTTTAATTACTTTTTTTGGTTTAGTTTTTCTTTTGAAGCATTTCTTATATCATATAAATATATTTTTTGTATTTTATATAAATATATAGACTCTTATAGACTACCAACACTTAAGCTAGAGCTAGGGCATTTTCCGTTAGCGGTTAATCGAGTTATCAAGTTGGCATTGGCTTGTCCCCAAATTTAGCTAAGGGCTGGTAATTTAGTAAATTTGGTCCACAAACTGCCACGACTTGCTAATATTAACGCACTACTAGAAAACGTGGTATATAAACCATAAATTTTCAAAACAAAAATTCCAAAAAAAAAAAATAAATAAATAAATAAAAAATTAAATAAATCATTTTCGCTCTCACTCCATATTTGCCTTTTTCGAACCTTCCAGAACTAGCCCATTCCTTACATAAAGAAATTTGAAAACCAAATCAAAATTCATAAATTAAGCCAAATTAAAAACCCCGTTTTTATTTCTTTTTATTATCGCCTTTTGGTGTGGATTTTCCTGTTGCCGATGCCGTTGTTGTCGTCGTGGTCGTTTTTGCCGGTGTCTGTTTCGTTTCCTTTTCCTTATCCGTGTCCTTGTCTTCCATAGTCGCATTAGTCGTCGCCGTCTTGCCTTTGTTGGTGGGTGTTGATGTTGTTGCTGCCGCCGTCGTCGTTATTGCCGTTTCCTCCTCCTCCTTCAGTACGCCCGTCTCTCGACTTATTTCCGCATCCTTTTTCTCATTCGATTGATTTGCCGGCAATGCCTTCAGTATGGCATGTACCTCCTCGGCCACCGCCATAAGGACAAACTCAAACTGTTGTCGCGTTGCCACCAAACCGGCTCTCTGATCTCTCAAATGTTCCAATGTCGCCGCAATGTCAATTTCTCGTGCTCCCTTATTCATTCGACCCAAAACCAAGTCCAATAGGATGTATGCTCCCGTGCGTCCAGCACCACCACTGCCATGAACCACAATTGGACAGGAACGGCCGCGATAGGACTTGTTGACTTTTCTGTAATAAAGAAAGGAAAGGGGAAATTAATATTCGAAAAGAAACAAAAAATCCAAAATATCAGAAACCAAACCAAAATATCAGAAACCAAACTATAGAAAAAAATTCGACAGACCCACGGGGTCTACTTTTTTTTTCTATAGAAAAAAATTCGACAGACCCACGGGGTCTACTTTTTTTTCTATAGAAAAAAATTCGACAGACCCACGGGGTCTACTTTTTTTCTATAGAAAAAAATTCGACAGACCCACGGTGTCTACTTTTTTTCTAAAGAAAAAAAATTCGACAGACCCACGGGGTCTACTTTTTTTCTATAGAAAAAAAATTCGACAGACCCACGGGGTCTACTTTTTTCTATAGAAAAAAATTCGACAGACCCACGGGGTCTACTTTTTTCTATAGAAAAAAATTCGTCAGACCCCAGGCTGTCTATTTTTTTCTATAGAAAAAAAAATCGAGAGACCCACGGTGTCTATTTTTTCTATAGTAAAAAATTCGAGACACCCACGGTGTCTATTTTTCTATAGAAAAAAAAAATCGAGAGACCCACGGTGTCTATTTTTTTCTATAGAAAAAAATTCGACAGACCCACGGGGTCTACTTTTTTCTATAGAAAAAAATTCGACAGACCCACGGGGTCTACTTTTTTCTATAGAAAAAAATTCGACAGACCCACGGGGTCTACTTTTTTCTATAGAAAAAAATTCGACAGACCCACGGGGTCTACTTTTTTCTATAGAAAAAAATTCGACAGACCCACGGGGTCTACTTTTTTCTATAGAAAAAAATTCGGCAGACCCACGGGGTCTACTTTTTTCTATAGAAACAATTCGACAGACCCACGGGGTCTACTTTTTTCTATAGAAAAAAATTCGACAGACCCACGGGGTCTACTTTTTTCTATAGAAAAAAATTCGAGAGACCCCAGGGGGTCTATTTTTTTTCTATAGAAAAAAATTCGAGAGACCCCAGGGGGTCTATTTTTTTTCTATAGAAAAAAATTCGAGAGACCCCAGGGGGTCTATTTTTTTTCTATAGAAAAAAATTCGAGAGACCCCAGGGGGTCTATTTTTTTTTCTATAGAAAAAAATTCGAGAGACCCCAGGGGGTCTATTTTTTTTCTATAGAAAAAAATTCGAGAGATCCCAGGGGGTCTATTTTTTTCTATAGAAAAAAATTCGAGAGACCCCAGGGGGTCTATTTTTTTTTCTATAGAAAAAAATTGGAGAAACCCCGTACTTTTTTCTATAGAAAAAAATTCGAGAGACCTAAGGTGTCAATTCTTTTTCTATGGAAAAAAGTTCAAGAGACCTAAGGTGTCGATTTTTTTTTTCTATAGAAAAAAATTCGAGAGCCCCAAGGGGTCCAATTTTTTCTATAGAAAATAAATTGAGAGACCCAAGGGTCTATTTTTTTTAACAAAAATTCGACAAACCTCAGGGGTTTACTTCTATTTTTTTTTTTTTTTTTTTTTGTAGAAAAAAATCGACAGAACCTAGGGTCTATTTTTTCTGTAGAAAAAAGCGACAGACCCTAGGGTCTATTTTTTCTGTAGAAAAAATCGACAACCCTAGGGTCTATTTCCTGGGGTTTTTTTTTTTTTTTTTCTATAGAAACAAATAGACCCCCTTGTGGCTCTCGATATTTTTCTATAGGAAAAAAAAAAACCCCAAGGGGTCTCTCGATTTTTTTCTATAAAAAAAGACCCCCCTGAGGTCTGTCGAACTTTTATCAGTAGAAAAAAAGACTCCTTGGTTCTGTCGTAATTTTTTCAATAGAAAAAAGTATACTCCTTGGTTTTGTTGAATTTTTTTCTATAGAAAAATAGAGGTTTGTTTCTGTCAAACTTTTTTCTATAGAAAAAATAGACGTTATTGTCTGCGAAGGTATTTTAAGGTATTCTTCCACGTACCTTCTGAAATCCAATAATGCCTTTGCCTGAGGTGGTACTCCACCCTGGGGCCATGACAGGAAATGGAACTGCGTCACAGTTCGCGTTTCACTGGTACGCAAATTCTTCAAATAGAATGATCGGACCAGATAGTCGTCACACCAAATGTGTTCACTAACCAAATGAACCTGAAATGAGAAGAATATGAGAATCCTTCCAGGAACCAATTCAAATTTTCCACCCACCTCATAGATGTGATAGACTTCTGCTCCCTCCTCGGGCCAGTAGCGGGCACAGGCAATTTCACCGTTCTCCTGCAGGCGACATAGGGCCACAATAACAACGGCACCCTGTTCCCAAATCATTTGCCAGAAGTGGGCCAATGTTGAGGGAATGGGTCCTTGTGCGGCCACATAGGCAGGGGCACGGGGATCATGGTCGGTCTAAAGTGGGGAAAGTCATACATAATGTTTTAAAATATTTCTCTTTGAAAGGTGTCTCAAAACTTACAATGGTCGAAGCATTGATGTAATCCAAACCTTCAGCATTGGCCAGGTGATTCAGGACTACACGAGAATGGTCATAGGGCAAGGGGGCTCCGGGTCGATTCAGATTTGCACATTGTGGCTGCAATGCAGCATCTCGGGCACTGGGTTCGGCCTCATAGCGACATAGAGCCTCCCATTCCCTTTGCAAGCGGCCCTTGTTTCTCAAGTGGTCTTCCATGTAGGACTAAAATGAGTGAAGGAAATAAGTAAGATATCCTTTAAATCGTCCTGAAAATCTATGTCTGCTTACCAACACCATATGACCCGTTGAAATATCCATATTCGTTAGAGCCGGTTCCTCACTCCATGACGAGGTACTGGATCGCGACGATGGTGGCCTTTCGTTATCCTTGCTCAACGTTGTAATGCGACCACTCGCTACCGGTTCCACAGTACTGCTACCCTTGCCAGCCATGCGAGCACGACACAAATCCTGATAGTCCTTGGTGCAACTTTCCGCTCCCGCAATTCCCGACTGTATACCACCCAACTTATCGCGTTTTTTGTCGTGCCGCTTAATCAGAATCAACGTTACGAATATAACAATAATGGCTGCCGCCCCAGCCCCAGCAAACATGTAAACCATGATGTGGGTAACATCGGGCCCCTGGTCAGCCAGCTCAATTCGAGCTGCCGAAACGCTGCCATCTTCATCGCGTTTGATTTTATCACCAACACCGGCACTTAGCACAGTCACACCTAGGCGGCGAAGGATGTTATTCTTGACACCACGATTCTCATTGATTGCACGCGCAATGTCAATGGCCGTCTTGTGTTCGGGGTTATTTGAGTCCACCCGGAATGAAACTTCATGTGGTAGAACGCTATGAAAAGCCAAAATTAAGGATCACCCAAGGAAAGGGATATGTATTTGGACTTACGTTAAATAAGTAAAGTATCCTTGCATGTGTAAAATATTGGCCAACTCGTTTACGATGCGCACGCCATCATTCCAACTGTCGATGCTGGAGGGAGGAAAACAAACAGACCAATAAATAAATCTTAAAAAATCTAAAGAAAGAGGTGTGGCTCAGACCTCAAAGATCTGAGCTCAAATTATTCTATAGGTAAAGTTCCGAGGTCTCGGTCTGACCCCAACTTTTTCTATAGAAAATGTTTCCAGACTTCAGTGGTCTGAAGTCGGACCTTTTTTCTATATAAAAAGTTCAGACCTCAGCTGTCTGAGGTCGGACACTTTTTCTATAGAAAAACTTCAGACCTCAGCTGTCTGAGGTCGGACACTTTTTCTATAGAAAAACTTCAGACCTCAGCTGTCTGAGGTCGGGCACTTTTTCTATAGAAAAACTTCAGACCTCAGCTGTCTGAGGTCGGACACTTTTTCTATAGGAAAATTTCAGACTTCAGCTGTCCTGTCTGTGGTCGGACACTTTTTCTATAGAAAAACTTCAGACTTCAGCTGTGTGAGGTCGGACACTTTTTCTATAGAAAAACTTCAGACCACAGCGGTCTGATGTCGGACACTTTTTCTATAGAAAAACTTCAGACCACAGAGGTCTGATGTCTTCTTCTATAGAAAAACTTCAGACCTCAGCTGTCTGAGGTCGGACACTTTTTCTATAGAAAAACTTCAGACCTCAGCTGTCTGAGGTCGGACACTTTTTCTATAGAAAAACTTCAGACCTCAGCTGTCTGAGGTCGGACACTTTTTCTATAGAAAAACTTCAGACCTCAGCTGTCTGAGGTCGGACACTTTTTCTATAGAAAAACTTCAGACCACAGCGGTCTGATGTCGGACACTTTTTCTATAGAAAAACTTCAGACCACAGCGGTCTGATGTCGGACACTTTTTCTATAGAAAAACTTCAGACCACAGCGGCCTGATGTCTTTTTCTATAGAAAAACTTCAGACCTCAGCTGTCTGAGGTCGGACACTTTTTCTATAGGAAAATTTCAGACTTCAGCTGTCCTGTCTGTGGTCGGACACTTTTTCTATAGAAAAACTTCAGACTTCAGCTGTGTGAGGTTAGACACTTTTTCTATAGAAAATCTTCAGACCTCAGCTGTGTGAGGTCGGACACTTTTTCTATAGGAAAATTTCAGACCTCAGCTGTCCGAATCTCTGAGCCATTTTCCATAGAACATTTTTGAAATTACGTCCCTCAATTTTGAAATTATCTCCCTTTTCTCCCTCTCTCTCTCCCTCTTTCTATGCGCCCTACTTACGGGTTTTTGACAAACACATGCGCATACTCAGTATCGACAGTATGCGGTGCATGATCTTCATCCGAGTGGTTTTTCACAACTTTCTTCTTCTTGCTAGCCTCATTGCTGCCCTTGATGTGTGCCGGTAGCTGTTCCTTGTTGTGGTTCACATCGGAGCCGTTTAACTTGCGGATCAAATTCTCTTTGACAGAGGGTGGCGGACCCAACATTGGACCCGGTTTCTTAACATCCAAACGTTCGTGACGTGTAAAACCCAACATATTGGCCAACAGCTCGCGGGCCTCTTCCTTACGTTGTTCCTTGTTGTAGGTGGCATCAATGCCCGGAAGTTCATTCATCGTAATGAGACCACCTTCGGTATAGACTTTTTCCGGACGATGTTGTTTGTGACGATGTGGATGCATGTTGGCCGACAGCATGGCTTCCTCTTGCAGGGGGGTTAGGGAGTTTCGGAAGAGACTTTCCTCAATGTCGTCACGATTGTCGTTTTCAGTGTCCATTTGCTGGGGTTGCCTTTTGGTGGTGGAGATTTCTTCTACCCCCAGGGGAACTTGAATTTCAATGTAGACTCGGGGTTCTTGTTCCAATCCCTTCTCCTGGGCCAATTCACGGAAAAAGGAACGTTCCTGATTGGGTTTCTCAATGGGTGCCATGGCACCCTTGCGAGGACTTGTACGCTTGAGGGGACCATAATTTTCGGGAAAATAGAATTCATTAGAGTCGTCGCTTGGTTCTTCGGGAACATAAATTGGCACTGAGGGAGGCATTGGTACCGTTTCCATTTGATCGGCTATACGTTCCGGATTCCTTTCATAAGGCTGGGGATCAGGTTCAGAGGCAGCCAACATTTGATATAGTTCCAAACGATTCCGCGCCGCCTCCTTGCGTTCAGCCTCCAGTTGGGCCTCCCTCTGCTCCTGTTCCCTTTGTATGCGGGCCCTTTCGTTTTCCAAAAACACATCCATGACATTGGGAGGATTCATTTGCGATTCACGATGCCTGTCGAATTCTCCGAATTGTGACAGCTCCAGGGGGTCATTGCGCACCTGACGATCCTGCAGCTGCAGTTGGTGCAAAATGGCATTAATGCCATTCGGGCCGGGGGAATTGTGTTTCTTTAGAGGCGGGTAGAAGAGCTTGTTGGCATTCGGGTAATCCTCCTCGGGTGGTATGAAGCGGACAAAGGCCATGGCATCAGCAGGTTCAAAATCGGTTGGCATGGGTGCCAGATTAGCACAGAGATTGGGAGGTAGTTGGATTTGTTTTTGCATGGAAAACAAGGAACCCTGTATGCGACACTGGACATAGGGATGGTCCCAGCCTAACCCGGCCCCCTGCAACTCCTCGAGCATAGTGGCGAGTAAACGTGACTGGTCCTCCGTGAGAGGGGTTCTGAAAAAATGGGAGGTTCAATTATTTGATTATTATACATTGCTTGGTTGTTAAGAGGCCGACTTACTTTTCAATGTCTTCCATATCGACACCAGTGGTTGGTATACACTTTCCAAAGATGTTGTCTGTTCCAAGAAGGGGAAGGCGGGGGAGAAGTAGAGAAAAATGGAAACAAAACAATGATTGTAATGATAATAACCATAATTGCTGTGATAATCATAATTTACTGAAAGGCCAAAAGGGCTTCCAACACCACCTCCAACGTAGATGGGATGCACTGAGCGCTAAAAGGACTCTTGGCCATAAATAAAGGACTCTTCATTTGAATGCAATAGAATTTGCTAACGAACAGCGCCAAAGTGAATGCTATGGCCGCTTTTTAAATCAGCAACACATTTATTATACTTATCTTTTATGAGTTTCTACTACTCCCGGCCAGAGGTAAAGTAGAGGCGTGGCAAACAGATTTTTCTTGGGGATTCGAAACAAAACCGAATACATCCTTATAATCAATCCCATAAGACACCCACGAATGAAAATATTTACCCCCCTTCCACAATGCCTCTCTACGCCCCTGCTTTATCCCACCACCAAACCAATGTCCTGCTGCTACAAAGACTCTTGGTTATTTGCATATTGCTGATGGTAACTTGGTTTTTTTTATTATTTTCTGTATCTTCTCTTCTCCTCCTCCTCGCCTCTCTGTCGCCCCACAAATCGGGGTCATAATTTAAAGGTTTAGGTCAAAATTGTTTACAATTTTTGCGTTCTCCAACCAAAGCGACCAGTTCATTGGGCGGACAAGCTGAACGACCTGATAATGTTGCTTAGAGTGGCAAAAAGCAGGCGAGGGAGAGACTCTAATTTTTGGGGACAAAGGAGAGGGAGGGGAGTTATCCTTGAGCTGTTTACGTGTTAATATACTTTTATGCCAACGGCAGGATAATGCAAATCTAATGCTGAATTATAGACTATCAGCAAACGTTTAATGTTAATTTGTGCAATTTAGAAAAACCATTAAGCCGAAATGTCAGATTGAAAGAGAATCCCGAAAAAAGCTGAAGGATGACAGGTTGATTTAAATTGCAAATTAAGAAGATAATGAGACAAGGGTTAAATACCAAACATTTTGGTGAAAGGTGGCAGGGTGAGGTGGGGCTGAAAATAAAAAAAAAATTTAAAGGTCTGAGGATCTTTTTTTTCCATTGAAAACAAATAATCCTAAGGTATTAAGAAGACTAAAGGAATCCTTTAGGAAATGGTAAAAAAATAAGTAAAAAACAAATAAAAAAAAAAAAACTAAGTTCGGCCGGGCAGAACTTTGAATACACTTCACCATTTGCAATGAATTTGAAAATTTTCAAAAAAAAAAAAAAATAAAATAAAATCCGTTAAAAATTCTGTTAAAATCTTAAAAATGCCGAATGTAGTCGTTATATTAGGGTCTTTACGACGACATGGACCTGCATAGGTAATATTTGTCAAAAGCCATTACAATATTCAAATGCGAAACTTATACCTTAGGTATAAGGTACAGGTAGGTTGATAAAAATTTACTCAAATATGTATTATGTCTGCAGGACTTTTGGTATTGAAAATGGGCCATGTTGGTCCACGTCTTCGTATAGCCCCCATATAGTGGTACCCACCGATATTCGGCATTTTGATGATTTTAGCTACATTATTAACAGGAATTGTTTCAAATTTGGTATTTAAAGTTCGCGATTCTTACTACAGCCTAAGGTAGAAAATTGTCTGTGCAGGTCCACGTCTTCGTAGAGCCCCCATATGACGGTACCTCCCGATATTCGGTATTTTAATGATTTTAGGGACATTATTCACCGGAATTGTTTCAAATTTGGCATTTGAAGTTCGTAATGTACACTACAGCCTAAGACAGAAAATTGTCTGTGCAGGTCCACGTTGCTATAGCCCCCATATAATCGTACCTTCCTATATTCGGTATTTTGATGATTTAAGCTACATTATTGACCGATTTTTTTTTTCAAATTTCGCTTTGAATATTGTAAAGGCTTATGACAATAGTTGCCTATGCAGGTCAATTTCTTCGTATTCATACGGCTACATTCGCTATTTTTAAGATTTTAACAGGATTTTTAACGGATTTTATTTTTTTTTTTTTTTGAAAATTTGCCAAAGAGACCTCAATATTAAAATTTCGGGATTTCAGCTCTATTCCTTTAATGTTAAATTTAGTATTATTCATTAAATTTCCCATTTCGTCTCCATATCTCAATTCCTGATACCAACATAGACAACAATATCAAATTTGAAGATCCCTTCACCCAATACCAAATTTAGTAACATTTACTAATGCAAATGCCACTGGCCAACATTTTTTCAGGACTGTATGGCATAACTTCAAAAAAGAAATCTACCAAAATGGATTTGGACTTAAAAAAAATGTGGAGCTGTTGAAGATAATTTTTTACAGACTTCCCATGACAAAATCCTGAAGTTTTCAAAAATATTTTGTACCAGTCCTTTCCTATCAAATTTGAATGAAAAAATGAATTAATTCCTAGGCTAAAATCGTGTTTTTGTACCCTAAGCCATATGGCTATCATTTGATAGGTCAAAACGTTTTAGACCCTAGGTCTCCTAGGGACCTAGGATAACCCTATTTTTCACCAACTTTTGGTCAAATTTCAAGAATTTTTAAGAAAAAATAATTTTCAAAAAAAAAAAAAATAAATAAATCGCAGAGTTTTTTAAGAATGTTTTTCAATGTTTTTTTAAGAATGGCCAAATCGCGGAGTTACAAATATTTTAGAGATTTTGATTTTTTTTCAATGGGCTACTTGTGAAGACCGATCCTTGGAGTTATTCTAAAATATATTTACCAGGACTTCCTGAAATACTTGCTACCAGACTTCGGATATTTTTGTAAATATTTTTGCAAGAACTTTAAGGCCCAAAATCGTGTTATATTTGAGAGAGTTCCTTGGATTTAGATTTCTTAAGCATTTTTTCAAAAAAAATCCTAGATTTTAAGATTTTATTTCTAGAGACTTCATAGTATCATTGTCTGAATTTGGCAACTTTCTCAAAAAACAAGTTAAATAGTATCGGTCGGGTTTTTCGATAAATTTATGCCTCCAGCATGAGTTATGATTATTCAAACAGTTGACCCTTTATGGGGGAGCAATTGGTCAATACTGACAAAGACTGATAAAAATACAAGTTGTAAAGAATCCCTGACTTGTTTCGAAAGCTATGACAGATATAAGCATTGAAAATTGTGACCCTTTGTGGGTGAGGTACCAGAAGGGGTCCGCATATATATATTATCTTCACCACAGATCTTGCGTTATCAAAAATATTTGGATGTGCAAAATGTTTGCATGATTTTTTTGCTTTCTTTGATCGTTTTGTTTTTCACAAATCTTGAACCCTTTGTGGGAGAAGTACCAGAAGAAATATTCCGATGTGTACCATCTTTATAACAGATCTTGTGTTAATGGAAATATTGAGATGTACCAAGTCTGAGTGGGATCGGACTTTAATTTCGCGTTTTATGAACTTCATGGGTATTCAAAATATTGAGCCTTTGTACCAGGGTTGGACCGATATATTCCTTCTTCATACCAGATCTTAAGCTTATAGTAATATTTGAATGTGTGAAGTTATAAGACAATCGGATTCTTACGTCACATTTTATAAGAGTTATAATCATTCAAAAATTTTGACCCTTTGTGGGGTAAGCACTTAAAGGAGAGGACCAATATTATCCATTATTAGGTTTTGCAAAGTTGGAGCAAAATCGGATTATTGCTTCTCTTTCTGTGCAGAATATATATATATATATATATATATATATATATATATAATTTTTTTTTTTTTTGAAAATTTCTGCCTTTTGTCGTGGAGGAACCAAAAGGAGTGCGCCGATATATTCCATCTTTACACCACACTTTGCATTAATAAACCTATTTCGATGTGAGTAATTTAAAGGCAATCGGATATTTAAGTTACATTTTATAAGAGTTATAATTATTTAAAATTTTGACTCTTTGTGGGGGAGGTACTTAATGGAGAGGACCGATATTGTCCATTTTCGCACTTGACCTATCACTGATGCAGATATTAGTATTGGCAAAGTTGGAGCAAAATATCGGATTATCCTTTCTTTTTCTGTACAGTGAACTATTTTCTTCGAAAATGTTGAAATTTTGTGTGGGAGGTACTAGAAGGAGTGGACCGATATTGTCCATCTCCGAACTCGATCTAAGTTTGACAATAATATTACGATACACCAAGATTGGATCAAATCGGATACTCCCTAGATCGACTCCAAATGTCTTGAAATGGATTTGATCCAAAGTGACCTAGGGTCTAACACTGTAATTTCAATGAGGCACGTTTTGCCCGTACCAAATGATATATACCCTCTCTATCCATATGGCTAAGGGTATACAAATCTCCTGTTATTCCAGGACCTCCTGATCAAAAAATCTTAAACTTTTTCCCATAGTCTGTGGGTATTTATTTGCCAACCAAGCACATGATACTTTGTTAGTACTGTGTAAGTTATTAGGTAAGCATCACATTTTTTCCTAAACTTACCATCGAAGCACACTTCACTCCCTTCCAAGCACAGGGTCCGGACAAATTTGCAACCTGAAAATATAGAAAAATATAATTAATTTAATTTTTTACTATTAAAATTAGTGTAAAAAAGAATTTCTAAGGGAACTGTATTACTTTAAAAAAAAATCTGCCTTTCGTGTCCATCCCTCCCTCCCTCTTTGCAAATCTCTTGTTATGGCGCTAATAGCTTTCTTAGCATTTGAAGTAAAAATTACCATAACTACATGGAACGTATTATACTGCACCTACTTCATACTTTTCATGGACTGTCGAAAACTAAAGAATAAAGGCAAACAGCCGGCAACCAATGGACAAAAAAAAAACTGTCGAACATAAGCTTTGCTTGTAGGCAGAGAGGTGTTGTTGTGAAAGGCTTAATTAATGTTTACAAAACTGCCACTTTCAATCACTGCCTTCCTACCCAATCACAATCACAAATACACACACAAACAAATCCAACTCTCTCTCTCTCTCTCAACCCCATACAAATATAGTTTTGTTTTATCGAACAAAAAAAAACATCCGAAAATTTGTTGGTTAGGCTGGTTGGCTGGCTGGTTGGTTGGCTGGCTGGTTGGTTGGCTGGCTGGTTGGTTGGCTGTGTCAGCCAGTCCATCCATGGATGATGGCATTGTCGTGTGCCATGCAGTGGCCAAACATTTGTTGTAGTTTTTTTTTTCAGTTTTTTTGCTTTTGGTTGCACACACATTGTAAAGTCACTATCTGTACAACATATCTCAACCAGCCGGAACAAGATTTTTTGAACATCTGCCAAATTTGTTGCTGCTGAACACTTGCACATGCATGCAACACTAGGTAGGCTGGTTGGTAGGCTTATTTGCTGCCAGGAAGTACCGCATTGTTAAAAGACCACCAGTACAAATAAAAAGCAGGACGAGGTGGTTAGTAGGGGGTGTTGTGAGGTTGCTGTGTGTAATTTTCGCTTGTTTACTTCTGTGGGATAATATGGAAATTGCATGCTGAAAGTATTGCGGCAACAATGGCAATATAATCTCCCCTGTATCGTTGATTTTGCCAGCAATTTCACAAACTTCAAAAGTGTTGAAAAACGAAATGAAGCCAAATATTTTTTTTCGTCGTTCGTTGTTGCATCGAATGTAATTGACACGCCTAATGAAGGGTTTGGAGCCGGAAAATTGGTTTACAGGTATAGCTATGTCGAAGGGCGCTTAGTTACAGAATAAAAACATCGAAGGCAATTAAAGAGAAATCGAGGAAATTGTCAACTTAAGGCCATAAGACCTTCAGTGGACATCAGTTGCTCTTCTGTTATAGAAGACCCTATTTAATATACGACCAGAAGGTCATCTTCTAAAGAAGTACAGGTGGGCCTCTCCTGTAGAAGTCTATATGGTCTTCTAATAAAAAAATATATGTAGATCTATAGAAAAAGTCGTCCGGCTATAGGACGAGATTATTTCAATAGAAAAAAAAAATAGTTTGGGTGCAGGACGAGACTTTTCTATAGAGAAGAATTTGTTCGACAATAGGACGAAGCTTTTTTCTATAGAAAATTTTTTTCGGCTACGAAAAAAAATCATCCTCCTATAGGACGAGGTTATTTCTATAGAAAACAAGTAAAAAAGCTGTAAGTTCGGCCGGGTCGAACTTTGAATACCCTCCACCGTTTGGAAAAAATTTGGCAATTTTCAAAAAAAAAATAAATAAATAAATAAAAATAAAATCCGATAATAGTTCTAATAAAATCTTAAAAATACCGATTGTAGCCGTTATATTAGGGTCTATACGACGATGTGGACCTGCATAGGCAACTTTCGTCATAAACCATTACAATTTTCAAATGCGAAATTAAAAAAAAAAAACTGGAATACACCGAATATGGCGAGGTACCATTGTATAGGGGATATACCAAAACGTGGACCAGCACAGACAATTTTCTGTCTTAGGCTGTAGTATACGTTACGAACTTTAAGTTCCAAATTTGAAACAATTCCGGTGAATAATGTTGCTAAAATCATCAAAATACCGAATATCGGGAGGTATCGGCGAAGACGTGGACCTACATGGCCCATTTTCAATATCAAAAGTCCTACAGACATAATATACATTTGAGTAAAATTTTATCCATCTGTTTCTTTTCGTTCGGAAGCTAGAGTGATTTCCACCGACGGACAGGCGGACGGACTGATATCTCTAAACCTCCATACTATGGTGGAGGGTATAAAAAAATTGTTCAGCCACAGAACAAATTTTTTTCAAAAATATAAAAAAAAAATCGTCCGGCTGCAGGTCTAGTTTTTTCAATAAAAAAAAATCGTCCTGCTACAGTACATGATTTTTTCAATAGAAAAAAATCATCCAGCTACAGGACGAGATTTTTTCTACAGAAAAAAATCATCCGGCTACAGGCCGAGATTTTTTCTACAGAAAATAATTAGTCCTGCTGCATGACTGGTTTTTTTTCTATAGAAAAAAATTAGACTTGGTTTTTTCTATAGAAAAAAATTCGTCCGTCTACAGGACGAGATTTTTTCTATAGAAAAAAATTCGTCTGGCCACAGAACGAGGTTTTTTCTATAGAAAAAAATTCGTCTGGCCACAGAACGAGGTTTTTTCTATAGAAAAAAATTCGTCTGGCCACAGAACGAGGTTTTTTCTATAGAAAAAAATTCGTCTGGCCACAGAACGAGGTTTTTTCTATAGAAAAAAATTCGTCTGGCCACAGAACGAGGTTTTTTCTATAGAAAAAAATTCGTCTGGCCACAGAACGAGGTTTTTTCTATAGAAAAAAATTCGTCTGGCCACAGAACGAGGTTTTTTCTATAGAAAAAAAATTCGTCTGGCCACAGAACGAGGTTTTTTCTATAGAAAAAAATTCGTCTGGCCACAGAACGAGGTTTTTTCTATAGAAAAAAATTCGTCTGGCCACAGAACGAGGTTTTTTCTATAGAAAAAAATTCGTCTGGCCACAGAACGAGGTTTTTTCTATAGAAAAAAATTCGTCTGGCCACAGAACGAGGTTTTTTCTATAGAAAAAAATTCGTCTGGCCACAGAACGAGGTTTTTTCTATAGAAAAAAATTCGTCTGGCCACAGAACGAGGTTTTTTCTATAGAAAAAAATTCGTCTGGTCACAGAACGAGGTTTTTTCTATAGAAAAAAAATCGTCTGGTCACAGAACGAGGTTTTTTCTACAGAAAAAAATTCGTCCGGCTACAGGACGAGATTTTTTCTATAGAAAAAAATTCCTCCGGCTACAGGACGAGATTTTTTTTTTCTATAGAAAAAAATTCGTCCGGCTACAGGGCGAGATTTTTTCTATAGAAAAAAATTCGTCCGGCTATAGGGCGAGATTTTTTCTATAGAAAAAAAATCGTCCGGCTACAGGGCGAGATTTTTTCTATAGAAAAAAATTCGTCCGGCCACATGACGAGAAAATTCGTCCGACTACAGGTCGAGATTTTTTCTATAGAAAAATATTCGTCCGACTAAAGAACGAGATTTTTTTTTCTATAAAAAAAATCGTCCGTGTACGGGAGAGAAAAGAAAATTCTTCTCCAATGTTCTTCTCACATCACGTTTTACACCATCATTAGACTACACTTTCAAATTTACAGCCTGTGTAATTGTTCACAGGATGTTATTTTGATGGTTAACACAAAACGTTATGACATTTGCTACTTTCATTTTTATTCCTTTCAAATAGATTTCAATCTCTTGGAGTAATGCTTTATTGCCTCCACTCTTGTTTTTTTTTCCAAAACTCGGTCACGTCATCGAAATCTGGTGGCCAAATTTCAAATTCTACGAAGTTAGCAAGTTCGGAAAAATAAGAAAAAGATGGAATGGTGTTTTTGGGAGAAAATTCGTGTGGAAATATGCCGTGACGTCAATTGTATTTTTTTTATTTTTTATTTTTGAAACAAATGAATGAACGAACCTGAACGTAAATGTAAAAAAGGAAAAACACATTGGTTCAAAAAGGGCATGTTTTGTGTTTTTATTGTTGCACTTAAAAAAAAGAGAAAAACTAAATGAATTTTCACTTTTTCTCTCCGTTTCCATGGAGCAACCATCCAAAAAAGCGAAAACACGCCAAACAAATTGGCATTAAATGAGTCTACATTACAAATGCAAAGACTACGTGAACACAATATGTTCCACGTTTTTATGCCAGTCATGTTGTTGGTTGATCCTCCTCCACCACCCGAGGTTTTTTCCCCAACGAAAATCCCTGGCAAATGAGTGGCAGTCGGCAAGGATACCCAGAACTAAAATCGAAAGTAAAGTGTTTACGCAGCAGTTTTTGTTTTGGGGATTTTACATTTACTTTTCCATTTTTTCTCCTTTTGGCAACAACTGTACAGGGATCCTAGCTAAGGATTCTATTTTCTCCAACACAAAAAAAGTAAACATTCCCCCCACCCCACTCTAACACTCAGCATGTTCGTTCGCATCCACAAAAAAATAAGGATGTTGCAAACAACAACGACAAACGAGAAAAATAAAACAGACAAAAACGCCCATAGAAAAATCGTCCTCGTAAAAAGTAAAAGTTCTCTCTTTTTTTTGTAAACCGTAAAGTCCTTATTTATCCATTCACCTTATCACAGGCTTTTAGTTTTGGATTTGTTTTGAAACCCTTTTTTCTCGGCTGGCAATTTCTATTCGTTAAGAGCCTGTTTGGGTTTGCTATTGATTGAATGTAAGGTCATTGTATTCATTCCAATAGAATGATTGAAAAGGACAGTTTTTGGAAGCAAAACATAATTAAATTTAATGTCATTCATGTGGTGCATACTTTTAGGCGACCCAGAATTTTAATGCTCCACTGAATGGTTACAACTAAAATCAATTAAGAAGCCATTGATTAAATTGAGGGGTAGGAGGGGACGTTTAAGTTTAGAAAATTAAAAAAAAAGTTTAAGGTTGGAAAGTGGAAAACTATTTTCAGGACAGGAATTCGGTTGGGTCAGATGTATTCTTTATAGGATTTATTATAGGCGTGGGCTATGGAAAAAAGTGTCGTCCATAGAAATTCTTCCAGCC